TGTGGTCAATGACATGAGACAAAGTATATGTGAACTGCTGTATCGAGAGTGAATTTGCTCTGTAAATCTTCACCCAAATCACAATAAAAAAAAAAAAAAAAAAAAAAAAAAAGATGGGCTATTAGAACCCACCAGCTTCTCTGAAGGAGAAAGACGAAGCAGTCTACTTCAGGAAAGATTAACAGCCTTAGAAACCCTATGCGGCAATTCTACTCTGTCTTACAGGGTCACTATGGGTTGGAACTGACTTGATGGCATTATGTTTTGGAGCTCTGGTGGCATAGTGCCTAAGGCATTTGACTGCTAAGCAGAAGGCTGACGGTTCAAACCCATCAGCCACTCCTCGGAAGGAAGATTGAGCAATCTACTTCCATAGAGATACTGCCTTGGAAATCCAAGAAGGGGTCGCTATGAGTCAAATCGACTTGATGTCAGTGAGTTTGGTTTTTTGGGTTTATGGAAGATCTCCATTTCCTCATCCAGGACAAGCCCAGGGCTTCATGGATCTGTGTAGTAAAATCCATTTGTTACGGATGCCAGAAAAACACTCAAGCTCAAGCTTACTACTCTGGTTTTAGTTCCCTCCTTATCTTTGGCCCCTGAGAATTTCCTTTACTCTTGTGCTCAGCTATGCATTTAAAATGTTGTATGTTATTTTTCATTCAGTATTTCTAGATATTTCATGCTAGGAATGTTTTTAGGCTTTTGAGAGAGCCACAATGCTCAAAAAGAAAGTCCTTTTATAGATTAAAAAAAAAACAGGGTAAGAAAGGTAAAATAACTTGTCCAAGTAATAAGCAGAGCTGTTATTAGAATTCCTTCCCCCACCCCCAAAAAAATATATATTCTTGCTTTCATATCACTCTATATTCTTTTTGTTTCAGGCTTATATGAACAATGATACGTTTTAAAGCCATACAAGTGGGAAGGTATACAGTCCAAAGAAGGCTAATTTGTCACAGTTTTTTTTGTTTTTTTTCTTCCCATTTTTCTTGTGATTTGGGTAAAAGTTTACAGAGCAGCAAATTAATTTTCCATACAGCAGTGTTATAAATAGTTTTGAGATTAGCAAAAAACTTAGCAATGAAAAACAGACTTTAAGATAAAATAATCTTAAAGGTGAGATTTCTCTAATTTAAAATGTAAAAATATGTAACTGAATCAATGTATGTCTGTTGTTGTTGTTGTTATGTGCCGCCGAGTCAGACCCAACTCATAGCAACCCCTCTTTGGGTTGCCGAGGCAGTATCACTACGGAAGTAGATTGCCTAACCTTCCTTCCGAGGAGTGGCTGGTGGGTTTGAACCACCAGGCTTCTGGTTAGCAGTCAAGTGCCTTAGGCACTATGCTACCAGAGCTCCTAATGTATGTCTATAACTCTATAATCAACAATACTTTTTTTTTTCCTTTAGCACACTCGAAAAGCTTTTATGTTTTTCTCAATATAGATTACTAACAGCTGTATAATGAAAACACCTAGTTTTCTTTCAAAATAAAGTTACTTGGAATATCTATTTCTCTTCTTAGTCTGAAGTCTCCTACACATGAGAATCCTCTTTCAAGTGAATGGGAGGACCTTACTCAGATTGTTCCTTAATGAATGTGGACAAATTACATAGATACATATTTGGCCAAGTCTTAACATTAATAGTAAGATGGCTTCAAGATAATTTACAATGAAAAAAAAAAAAAAAAATAGAGAGAGAGAGACATAGACATACACATATCCACACATGTAGATAAGGAGTTCTGGTGATATAGCAGACAGGCATGTGGCTGCTTACCAAAAGGTCAGTGGTTCATAACTCACCAGCTGCTGCTCTGTGGGAGGAAGATGGGGCAATCTACTTCCAATAAAGATTTACAGCCTCAGAAACCCAATGGGGGTCGTTATGAGTCAGAATCGACTAAATGGCAGTGAGTTTGGTTTTTTGGTTTATATACAGAGATATGGGAGCTCTGGTAGCATAGTGGCTAAGGCATCTGACTGCTAACCAGAAGGCTGGTGGTTCAAACCCACCAGCCACTCCTCGGAAGGAAGATGAGGCAATCTACTTCCATAATGATACTGCCTCCGCAACCCAAGGAGGGGTCGCTACGAGTCGGGTCTGACTCAACGGCAAACAACAACAACAACATATAGAGATATGCAAAGAAAATCAAGTTTGTACTTAGAAGTTCTTATTCCTCATAACCTTCATGGTAGTTTCTCTCTGATATATAGTAGCATTCTGTTTTGTTCTCAAAATTTCCCTTTTCTTAATGATCTGTGATAAGTCACTGACTGTACTAGTACCTAAATTCTCTAATGAGACTATCATAGTAACCAGATTTACCTTCTCTTTCATGTTCTCAAAAGCTCCTCCCTGGGCCAGCACAGTGTTGGACTGCAAATCAAAAATGAATCCTGATGAATCTGAAAGAATGAGAGGGGAAAAATATATTCAATATGATCCCAAACTAACATGTAATCCAATCCATTCTTTTGAAAGAGAGCAAGACCAGCTACTTTTCTCTTATAAAACAGTTAACAATCACTTAGCTGCTATTTGGTAAATCCTACTATATAGACCTAAACAGAAGACAATTTACAGATATATTCTGAATTAAACTTATAAAATAAAAATTGCTTTTAATAGAAACTGTCACAGTTTGAGCAAACCACTAAACACATGAACTATGTTAGATTGTCTAGTGGTCCTTAACATCTTTATTAGTTACCCTACCTTAATTAATAAGATTTTCTAAAAATGTTATGAAGAAAGAGCCCCAAGGTAAAATATAACACTAAAAAATGTGAAAATGTGAGCAAGGTTGAGGAGTTTCTGTAATAATAGTATTAATACATAAAAGTGATTGCACCAATTAAGTCATATTCTTTGACTATGAGTTGCATGGATACATTCATGTCTGTGTACCCAACATAATGCTTGATGAAATAATGTTATCTGAGTGTATCAAACCCACTGCCACTGAGTTGATTCCAAATCACAGTGACCCTGTAGGATAGAGTACAACTGCCCAACAGGGTTTCTAAGGCTGTAAATCTTTACGAAAGCAGACTTGTCTCATCTTTCTCCTGTGGAGCAGCTGGTGAGTTTGAAGCACTGTCCTTCTATTTCATCATTGCACCATCAGCAAAATATGGAAAAACTCAGTTCAATGTGATTAATTACAACAAAGATTTTGGCTTCCCTGTACTTATTTAATCCATTTTTTATGTGTATAGAGTTGAATTATGTGATCTCTAAGATTCTTCAGCTTTAACACTGGACAACTTTGTTTTAATCAAGTAAAATGTAATTCCAGGAAATGAGTAGAAGAGTGCTTCTCAAATTTTGAAGTGCATTTTCCATCCCCTGGAGAATCTTTGTAAAATGCAGGTTGATTCAGTAATCTAGCTCTGGTCTGAGATTTTTTACTCCTGGTGATATTATAGTAGCTAGGAGCCAGAATTTCAACAAAGCAAAAGGGGAAATTGTAAGGAAAGGAGAATAAATAGCACAATATATTCTACCACATTTCCCAATTCGTTTGCTATTATTACAGATGTGTTTTAATTAAAGCCTCTTTTACAGTTCCATCTTTATCCTGTGTTTTCAAGTGTCTCCTTGTTACTATGGAAGACTGATAATTTTTTTTTTACTGACCAAGATTCCATCAGCATTTTTTTTTTTTTTTTAACTTTATTGTGTTTTGGGTGAAAGTTTACAGAGAAAATGCACTTTGCAAACAGCAGCTCACACACTGACTGCAATCTCCCACAATGCAACAGCTCCCTCCCACTTCCTCCCTATAGTTATCTCTTCTCTGTGTCCATCCCTCCCATGCACTCCTGCCCGCCCCACCAGCTGTCTCCCTGTGCATACACAGCCCTTCTATTCTCCCATGATTGATCTCTCCAAGGAGTTTATCTACCTAATGTAAATGTTCAGCTCATATGCCTGTCTTTTGTTTGGCTGGAAGCCACAGGAGTGGGTTCAACTCCAGACTTGAAGGGCAGCTAGGGGCCATAGTCTCAGTGATTCCATCAAGCTCTATCAGACCAGCAAACCTGGTCCTTTTTTTTTTTTTTTTTAAATGATTTTGAGTTTTGTTCCACATTGTTCTCCCACTCTATATCCAGGATCTTATACATAGATCCCCCTCTGAGTACTTGACAGTGGTAGCCAGGCATCATTGAGTTTTTATGGTCTCATAGTCACATAGGCTGAGGATCGCATGGTATACCAGTCCCTTGGACTAACTGTTTCCATGAGTCTTTGGGTTTCTTCATTATTCTTTGCTTTGCACGAGAGAGCCATCACTGCATCTAGATGGCTGCCAGCAAGCTTTAAAGATCCCAGTTGCTACTTGCCAAAGTAGGATGTGGAACTAATGTTTTTGTGTAGTATGTTATGCCAATTGAGCTCAATGTCCCCTGCGACTACGGTCCCAAGCCCGCAGGTCTAACTACTCGCTCCCTCTGGGTAGCTGGCTGTGGCCAAGAAATGACTACAACCTTGTCCCTTGTCAGCTCTACTATATACCTGAGAATTCTTATAGAACATGCAAATACACTTGTAAAAACATTGTCTGCCAATACTGTACATGGTTCATGGGCACACTGTCCCCTGCATAGACATACCTAATAGCTCAGCCTGTCCACCCATCTATCCACCCGTACATCAGTGTTTGCCATCACTGACAATGCAATACTGTATGTGCAAAAGGGTTCATCTTTGTTATCTGTACCTCCCATGCATCTATGTCTTCCTTTTCCTAAATGCAACGTGCTGATCACTCACATTTGCTACACTGCCCTTCTCTTTACCCAAATCAATACTTGTCTCTACCTATCTAATAGTGTGCCCTCCCCTCCCCTCCAACCTCTGGTAACAGAGTATTTCCTTCCATATGTAAACCTTTCCTTGACTTTTTACAATAATGAGCTAATACACTATTTGTCCTTTTGTCATTGACTTATTTCACTCAGCATAATATCCTCCAACTTCATCCACATTATGTGGTGCTTTGCAGATTCTATGTTATTCCTTAGGGTTACATAGTATTCCATTGTGTGTATGTACCACAGTTTGGTTATCCATTCTTCTGTTGATGGGCACCTAGGTTGTTTCCATCTTTTTGCTATTGTAAATAGTGCTGTAATGAACATGGGTACACATGTATCTGTTCCTGTCCTGCCCTCTCACTTCTTTAGGATATATACTTAGTAATGGAATGGC